AATGTTTATTGCATAAAACAAAATTATGTTGTTTCCACAATCCTTTTTATCACTTTGGTTCTGTTTAAAAATATGTTTCAAAATGGAAGACTTCCCAAAGAGTACTCATGTGAAATCTTACCAGTAAATCTGATCAGGGATTCTGGTAGTAGAAAATATTCAACACTTCTTTGCTTATTTGTATAAGATGTGTAAGAGTAATTTGTGGGACCAGCAAGTGGCATGGTGGTTAAGGCGCTGAACACTCCCACATGGCCGACCAGAGTTCGAGTCCTGAATCTGGTGGCCTGCTTTCTCACTTCCTCTCTCTCTCACCCTCTGTCTCTCTCTGATCAAAACTAAAAATAAATGAATGAATAAATAAAATAAATAATTATTTTTTAAAAAAGAGTAATTTGTGATAGTTAAAGGCTTAGGTTGCATTTAAATTTCAGCAAAAGAAATTTAGTTATATGGGGCTGGCAGGTGGTGTGGTGATTAAAAGCGCTGAATTCTCATATGGTCGACCACAGTTCAAGTCCCAGACCTGACAGATTGCTTTCTCACTATCCCTTTCTCTCTTTCTCTGTCTGTGGTCAAATTAAAAGAAATAATAATAATAATAAGTGGAATTAAATAAATAAATATTTTTTTAAAGAAAGAAATTTAGTTGTAAATTTAGTAGAAAGAATGAACAGGGATAATGTATACGTGATGCATAAGTGAGTGTTACATTATCCCTGAAAGAATTCAGAGCACAATGGGAATCAAATAAATAGGGGTCTGGTTACTTTTAAGTTGGTTTATATTAATGATAAAAGAGTTTATCAGTGAAACATGGAAAATTCTGTCACCTTTTTAGGCGAAAGTTTTGACAAATAGCAAACTCTGATATCTCTTTTTTTTTTAACTTTCTTTTGAGAGGTTTTTGCTGTAGGGCATGTGCGCTCGCCAGAAAATGAGAAATCACCTCCCAGGGGAGATAGCCATGCCACATTCCCCTCTCCTCCGCTCTCCCTATGGGATCATGGGCACGCATACACAATCTCATGCCCACCGTGAGTTCAAGCCACCGGGTCTGGGACTCAAACCGCGGTCAACTACATGGGAGTCCAGCAGCGTAGCCATTATGCCATCTGCTGGTCCTAAAGCTCTGATATCTCTACATAGTCTTAAATATAAGAACTCTGGACTAGATGATTTTTCGTGCCCCTCCCATGATTTTATGCTTTAAGACATCATCTATGTATTTTATGGTAAAGGATTTTTTTTTCTTTTCAGAGTAGTTATTTTGGTCCATGGATGTACACTAGGCCAATCTGTGTTAGTTGAGTCGAGGCATCTTCCTTCACTGCCTTTCTCCTTCCTGTCGCTAGCCTGGGTATCTGGAAGGTGGACTAAGCTTTCAATGCCATATTAAGCCTACTAACCTTTTTGTATTTGGTTACTTACCTTTCTTAGAGTACCATTTCTAAACTGAAGTAAACTGAATCCCATATCGTTTTAGAGATTATGGTGTAGCTATCGAGTGTGTATTCTTATGGCTTTATTTTTCTTTTCAAGGTTGAAGAAATGGTGCAGAACCACATGACTTATTCATTACAGGATGTAGGTGGAGATGCCAATTGGCAGTTGGTTGTAGAAGAAGGAGAAATGAAGGTAATTCCCACTGAATGTTACAGGTTGCTAAGTGTAGCTCTGTTTTAGTCATGTTATAATTGCTATTAATATGTAAGTAAATAGAGAAATTTCAAATTACTTAAAAACAAATCATTACATATGATGAAAGAAACACCAGATATTGAGAAATAAAGTCTTTTTGTTTCCTTGATTGGACTTTTACCAATTTCTTTATAATCATAATATTAAATATATGGCAACCATTCTGTTTGCCTAGGCCATAGTATAAATAAAATTTGGAGGTATAGGTATAAATGGGCCACAATTAGTACATGGCCCTCTATTTGGATATTTCTGTATCTCTGACTTATATTATATGCAGAATGCACTGACCATTGTATCTAAATGTCACTTTGTTCTCTACCTTTTTGGTCTGGACTCTCTTCTTGTCCTTTCTCTCACTACATCTTTTCTGATGTTTAGACATTGGTCAGCTAATCTTATTAACATCCCTAAACATAAGAAATAGAAAATAAGGGACCAGCAGTTAGCATAATGGCTATGTCGCTGGACTCCCACGTACTCGACCGTGGTTCAAATCCCGGACCCAGTGGCTTAAAACCCACGCCTGGTGTGTGTACATGCGTGCCCAAGATCCTGAGAGGAGAATGGAGGAGAAGGGATTGCGGCGTGACCATCCCCCCTGGAGGGGGTGATTTCTCACTTTCTGTCTCTCTGTCTCTGTCTGTCTGGTGAGCACACGCACCCTGTAACAAAAACCTCTCCAAAAAAAAGAAATAGAAAATAAGATCAAGTTGGCTCCAGTTAAGTGGCATGGTAGTTAAGGCAGTTGGATCCCACAGGGCCAACCACAGTTTGAATCCCAGCTCAGCAGCTTGAAAAACATGCTGGTTGCATGCGCATGCACTCAAAATCCTGACAGGATGGAGAAATGGAGGAAAAGAGATTACAGTGTAACTACACTACAGTTTAGGGGAGGGGTGCTTTCTCCCTCACTCTGTGTCTGTGTCTATGTCTGTCTCTGTCTCTCTCTCTCTCTCTGGAGAGCAGCCTGGCCCTCCAGTAAAAAGGGGGAAAAAAGATACTTGCCTCCATTTGATAATGTATTGACTCCCATCTGATAATATACTGAATGAAGAACATAGATGAGTAGTAGAGAAGGTTAGAAAAGAAAGAGGCTCTATGATCCAAAACAATTAGATTGTTTTACAACAAGGAGAAGCATTTGAATCTATCTAAAAATGGAAACAAGGTTGAGACAGAGGTGAGGTAAGGGCATTTAGACATGAAATAATTGAGTAAAAACTTGAAAGCAAGTTTCCTATTCAGGACTTTTGAATAGACTTCTGTTATCCAGACTTACTTCAGCAAGTACAGCAAGTAAGGTATAGTATTATAGACTGGGAGTCCCTCTCCTCTTGATTAGAAAACAAATTAAGAAGTAAGACAGAAGAGACAGACAATGAAATATAAGAATGTTCACTTGATTTCTGATTAAGTTGATCGGAGAGAACAGCTTTTAGATCAGCTGCCACAAAGTCTTGCTAATATGTTACTTCACAGTTGAACGAATTGTTCTGACATAGCTAGACAATCATAGGTCTTGTCTACAGGAGCAAGTCACATGCTTTCTGCAGAGAAGGGGCTTAGTCCAGGTCTGCCTTATTTTCTCTCCCGTGCTCACAAGTGACTGATAAGGCCGCTTCTCCTCTAAAGAGAAGAGAATGAGGAAAGGCCAGGAGTGATCATGTACCTGAAATGAAGAGTAGAGAATAAGTGTTCATACAGCTCACAGCATTAGAGAGAGAAATCCGGGCTAGACTATGGGGAGTGTAATGTAACCCACTAAGGAATATAGTGTACTGTGTGGAGCAATCGATTAGCCACTGTATGCACAGTTTCATTTTAGAAAAATTAAGCAGATAGGGAAGAAACTGAGACCAAGAAGAACACTTAAGATTATCAGGCATAAGGTGATGAAAGCCTAACCAGAACAGGTAAGCAACAGTAGAAAATTCAGACTGTTGGATATTATGGAGAAGATTAGTAATAAACTTAATAGCTATGTGAACTATGAGGGCAGGAATCAAAAGTCTGGATCTTTCAGTCTGGGAAAATGGTGGTCCCAGTACTATAAATAAACATGTAAAAGAATGTAGGTTGGTGAGAGTTTGTAAAAGATACACTGTGGGGGGCCAGCAGGTGGCGTGGTTAAGGCTGTGGGCTCTCACATGGCTGACCACAGTTCCAGACCCGGACCCAGAGGCTTTAAAATCACACCGGGCACATGTACAAGCATGCCCAAAACCCCAGGAGACTGGTGGAGAAAGGATGTGATGTGGCCATCCCCACTTAAGAATAATCTCTCTCTCTCTCTCTCTCTTAAAGTTCTTAACTTTAATGAAATGACTTTGGAAATAACGTACATTTCCATGACACCAACACTAGTTTTTGGGGCCACAGTAAAATACACAGAATTACATCCTTAATTAATATGTATGCCAATATTTCAAGCAGTAATTTCTGTTACATAAAAAACAAAATCAAGAAAGCAACCACTAAACAAAAGAGACCCATAGCTTCAGACAAGGCAAATCCCAGGATAGCATAGGAGAACAGTTGCTGCTGCAGCGAAGGGTTTCTGGCATAACCAATGATAAGGCTGCCAAAGACTGTTCCAATACCAGCACCAGAACCAGCCACTCCTACTGTTGCAGCACCGGCACCAATAAATTTGGCAGCAGTATCAATGTCTCTGCTGATTGCACTGGTCTGAAATCCCCTCTGGGTTAGCTGAGAGGCACCATTCTGGGCCCCATTAAATACCATAGAGCCCTCTCCAGTCCTTGCCTCAGGTCGCGGTAACACTGATGCAGAAATTGGTCTGTACACAACTCTGGATCCAGCTCGGATCAGAGCGGGGGAGCAGGTGAGCTTGGCGCAGGCGAACATCTTACATACTTTGGGGAGGCGTGGCTAGAGGACTCGGATGACAAGTGTCGTGGGCTCCTCTCCCACTCTCTTCTCGGGAGGTGGCGGCGGCAGCTACGGCAGCAGAGGTCGAAGGAGTGGGCTCTCTCTCTTAAAAGCACACGCACCCTATGGCAAAAAACCCATAAGGAAACAAACAAACTGAAAAACATACAGTGTCTTGCCTCCATAGTCATTTCATAAATTGAAAGCTCATTCTCCCCCAATACACACATTCCTTCATTTCTAAAAAGAACTTATCACAGAGTTCTCTAAAGTACCAGACTCTATAACTTTGAAATAATTCATTCTCTCAGTACTTAAGGTACACAGCCCCAGCATTTAAAGCAGAGTAGGCCCATTTATAATCTTTTTGCTATTTTAGCTTTCAGTTATTGATTCAACAAATAGTTGAATGCCTACTCTGTTTCAGATACTGTTCTAGATGCTAAGGATACAGTACTGAGCAAAGCAGCCTTAAATCAGTATCCTTAAGGAGATTGTAGTTTTAACCAGTCTTATTTGACCTTCTTAGCCATGTTATCAGTCTTTGAGAATGTTTGGTAACTAATGCCTAGTTTATTTATTTTTGTTTGATTTTGTCTTTATATAAGGAAGTTTTTTTTTCTTCTTTTAGAGAGTTGTTTTTGCTTTTGTTTTGGAGAGGTTTTTGCTATAGGGCACATGCCAGAAAGACAGAGAGACAGAGAGATAGAAAGCTAGAAATCACCCCCCGGGGGGGATGGCCACACCACAGTCCCTTCTCCTCCATTCTCCTCTCAGGATCTTGGGCATGCACACACACGCACCCAGCATGAGTTTAACCACCCGGTCCGTATAAAAGGAAGTTTTATTGATAATCATTTACCTTAATAGTTTCAGAAAGAGAAACAGATTAGCTCAGTCCAACATGATTGGCCATTGGCAAAATCTGGTCTGATTGCTAAGGATTTAATTTGGATGCTTTTAATACTTAGCCATCTAACACTTCAAACATAATTCAGAATAAATTCATCATCTCCTTCCCTTTCATTTTAATACCACACCTTCCTCACTTAATGTAGCAATATCTTCAAATATGGAAATATCTTCATTAAATATGATTCTAAGAGGAACAGGTTCCCTGGAGAGTATAGCATGAGGACAGTACACAAAGAAAAACTCAAAACTCTATGATAATTGGGAACCAGCAGTTAGCGTAATGGCTATGTCACTGGACTCCTAAGTAGTCGACCGCGGTTCATTTCCCGGGCCCGGTGACTTAAAACTCACGTTGGGCGCATGTGCATGTGTGCCCAAGATCCCAAGAGGAGAATGGAGGAGAAGGGATTGCGGCGTGACCATCCCCCCTGGGGGGTGATTTCTCGCTTTCTGTCTCTCTGTCTCTGTCTGTCTGGCGAGTGCACATGCCCTATAGCGAAAAAACCTCTCAAAAAAATAAAAAATAAAAAAAAAACTCTATGATAATTTACTAGCCTTAGGAAATAAAACCTTTTAATATATTAAGCAAATCCAGTTATAAATGCACTAAGAGGTCTATGTGCAGAGGGTCTGGTATCATAACTGAAAATGGCCAGCTATTTTCTATGTGCATAAGAATGGTGCACCTAGCCCAGCACTGACTCTCAGAAGCCAAAAGTGTTTTCTCAGCTGCAGGCCACGTACAAGAATCCGTCTTCATCCTTGTCCTTCTCGTAAAGCTATCCCATAATTAGGCTGGACTGTGGAACTCTCTTATCCTCAAACAGAAAGATCGCCTTTTCAGAAGGAAGCTGGATCCTTTACTTGATGATCTAGTGATGTCAAATGGAACCAAGTACTTCCATTTGTCAGTGTCAACCATCTGAGAGCCTGAGACTTTTTCCGCAATCACCAGAAACCAGTCAGGTATTTCTCTCAGATATTCGTAGATTCCACACATCTGTGTTCCAGCAAGTTGTTCTCCTTGAAAATCCACTTCATGCAGGCAGGGAACAGAGGATGGACCCAGCTCTTGGAGCCGCGGAGCTTTGTACACTGACCACAACAATGGCAGAGGCGGTGATGCCAACAACTACCTATTTTTTAATCTGCTACAGGACACATGTGCTCACTGTAGAAGGAGATAGTAAGGGGGATAGGGCGAAAGTACCCCCCCATGGGGGATAACCACACCAAATCTCTTCTCATTCATCCCTCCTTTTGGGATTTGGGGCATGCAAAAAAAACATATGCCTAGCGTGTTTTTCAAGCTGCCAAGTCTAGACTTGAACCTTACTCAGCCATGATCTAGCTACTTTAACCACCACACCATCAGCTGACCCATAATGCCTAATTTAAAGTAATATATTAAATAGTTCACGATATTCATTTATTATATGTGCATGTTTACAACTGAAGTTTACTTTGTAATTTTAAATATTTTTAATTATTTTATTTTTTAATTTATTCATTCATTTATTTCGTAATTTGGCCAGAGAGAGACAAAGGGTGAGAGTGAAAGAGAAAGGAAGTGAGAAAGCAAACCACCAGATTCAGGACTCAAACCCTGGTCGACCATGTGGGAGTGTCCAGCACCTTAACCACCACGCCACCTGCTGGTCCCATAATTTTAAATATTTTGTGTTATCTATAGTAATAATTTGAAATCAGAAATTTTCTTTTAGCAGAATGTGTTTTATAAATAGATATTTTTAAGTAAAACTAAAAAGCAGCTAAAAAGTTTACTTTTAATTTTTTACTTTAAGGGTCGGATTTTTAATTTTCAAACCAGTTTTTCAATATGTCTTCTTTAGGTATACAGAAGAGAAGTAGAAGAGAACGGGATTGTCCTGGATCCTTTGAAAGCTACTCATGCAGTAAAAGGAGTTACAGGACACGAGGTCTGCAATTACTTCTGGAACGTTGATGTTCGCAATGACTGGGAAAGTAAGCATCGTTATATATTTTGATCTAATTATTTTTAATTTAATGTCAAATCCAAGCTGGTTTTCTGTACCTGACCTATAGTTTACCAAATCAGTGTAGAAAATATCTAGAGAGTCATTTAGAGGACTAATCAAACCTTATAGCACATCACTATAAGAAACACTTCCCATTGTATCGCATCATTTGGTATGACATCTCTGTTTTCCTGCATCATAGGTTGGTAATGTTATTTCTCATTTTACATATAAATAACGTAAAATGTAGATAGGTCAAGTGACTTGTCAGAGGCCACAGAGTTCATTAGTGGAAAAACCAGGACTGAAATGGAAGGTGTCTATTTCATCATCTACTCTTACCTAAGCTGTTGTTTCCATGGTAAATCCTAAATGAGTCCTGCTGTAGTAGGTTTAGACTCGTTCTTAGTGTGCATATGTGCACATGACTGCTCCTTGAACACCAAATTTCATAAATACAGATACTTCTGAACATCCTAAGATGTTTATTATTGTCAGTCTGTATCTTAGTCTGCTATCTTGTTGCAAACAGAACTACTTAAGACTAAGACTTTAAAGAATAGCAATTTATTTGTCTCATGATTCTGGTGGCTGAAAAGAATCAACGTGCCATCACAACATGAGGTAAGAGGGTCATGAGCATGTGCTGAGAGAGATAGTGAGGACATCCATGATCCTTTTCTAACAACCTGCTCTTGTGAGAACTAACCCCTTCTTATGAGTTTTAGAACTCCTTGAGTCTTAACAAAACAGCATGAATTCAATGATCATTAATCTATGATCCAAACGCCACATATTAGGCCTCACCTCTTAAAGGTCTCACAACCTCCCAGTACCATAACAGTGGGGACCAAATTGCAAAACATAAACCTTTGGGTCAAAAACATCATCTACGCCATAGCAATTTGACTTTTTTTCCCCCCACAAATCAAGTTACCTAAGCCTAGATAGAACAGTTTATTTAGGTCCAATAAATTAGAGAGGAGGATAGAATGATAATGTTAGAGAATTATTTGAACCCAAGTAATACAGTGGTTAGAACAGCTTTCTTCCTGTGGAATTTAGATATTGGAAAAAGGAAATGAGACTTCCTGGTTATCAGACCTTACAGCTACCATCTATAGCCCAAATAAAGAGTGTTCACTACCTTCTATCTGGATTTAGCCTATGTAGGACAAGATCCTGTTTATTTTGCCATAATGTCTATTTGTAATTGACTTTCAGCATAAGTGAATGATCATATTCTAGTAAAATGAAATACATCTTTTTGTCTACTAATACTATTCTCTTCATTTCAGCAACTATAGAAAACTTTCATGTGGTGGAAACATTAGCTGATAATGCAATAATTGTTTATCAAACGCACAAGGTAAAGATCTCCCCATCCAAACCAAAAAGATTTCACTGTAGTTCAAACTTGAATCTATAATTTCTTTGAAGTAAAATTTGACTGGAAACTAAATGCCACAAAATATTTGACATTTGATATGTATTTATGAAGCTCAGTCTGTCATCTTAGACATCTCATGTGTAATCATTATGAGCTTTGCTTCATTCTGAGTGGTAGCAGCTCAAGAAATGTGTAACAGTGACGATTCTGGAGCCAGCCAGTCCTGTGGTGGTTAAGACTGCTGGATCCTATGTGGCTGACTGCATGGTGTGCCTTCTGGACCCAAAACTTTGAAGAAACATGCCAGGCACACACATGTGCATGCCAAAATTCCAAAAAGAGTAATGGACAAGTGATTGTAGTGTGACCATCACCCATGGAGGGGGTTCTTTTTGATTTCTCTCTGTCTCGCCAGTGAGCACTTGTGCCCTCGGGCAAATTTTTTTTAAAAATTCTGTTTTAGCATATTGATTTTGGGATCTACAGTGAAATCTAAAACTGAATAAATGTTAAGGTATCAATTAATTGTTCTGTAATTTGTAATGAAAATAAATGAGTAATAGGTCAGAATCAGAAAAACCTTATTATATGGAGATAATTGATCCTAGAAAATAACCTACTGAAGATATTCCTTTGGTAAACAATAGATGGAAAGGAGAGAGAGGGTCATATAAATTGTGTTAGGATTGAAAACTAAAACTAAAAGTGTTGGGACTGGCAGGTGGTGTGGTTGTTAAAGGCACTGGATTCCCACATGGGAATTCAACACGGTTTGAGTCCTGGACCTGGCAACTTGCTTTCTTTTCTTCCCTTTCTCTCTCTCTCTCTCTCTCCATCTCTGGTCAAATTTTAAAATAATAATAATAACAAATGGAATTAAATAAATAAATAAATGAACTAAAAGTATTAAAATAATGTATTTTATATGCAACAAAAATTGAGTTAGTTATAATTGTCAGTAATTCTTTTTAAAAAATCAAATAATACTATATATCATTCCCTTTACATTTTTTTTTTTGTAATATAGTTTTGTTGTTGTTATTTTTTAGAGATTTTTGCTATGGGGCACATGCACTTACCAGAGAGAGAGAGAGACAGAAGTGAGAAGTCACCCCCTGAGGGGATGGCCACACTGCAATCCCTTCTCCTCCGTTCTCTCAGAATTTAGGGCACACATGCACATGTACCTGGTGTGTTTTAAGCCACCGAGTCTGGGACTTGAACCACAGTCAACTATGTGGGAGTCCAGCGATGTACCCATTATGCCATCTGCTGGTCCCGTTTATAACATAATCTTCAAGAGCTACTTTTCTGTTGAATTTAAGTCATTCTCATTCTGTAAATTTTTATCTTTTTTAACTTCTTTAGTTTTAAATTTGCCAAATCTTCATTTATTATTCTCTCTATATATACTTACCCGAAAATGCTTTTATTAACTTTATGAAATTTTGTGATTATCGGATGAATCATTTCACTTAGCAAACAATTTGTGTTGTATTGATACTGAATTGTTGGCTATGTATTAGATTCAGTAATTAGGAAAGACACGGTGTGGTATAGTAAGGACTGAGTTCAGTTACGCATACCATACATCCCAAATAAAAGTAACTTAAATAGGATAAAGATTTTTCTGTCATTTAAAAGTAGGCAATCCTGGTAATCAGGGATCTAGGTTACATGTCATGTATGTTTTTTCTTACATACCTTAAAATTGTAATAATCCAAATGATTTAGAATTCTTTCAAATGTGATTATGATTGTAGAACAGTCTTCTTTCCTCTAAAGTCTGGTTTTTAAATCTTGGAGTCTCTGAGCAGACTATACCAAGGACTATGGAGATTGGAGATTAGGGGATTTTTACTCAATTTTTACCAAGTTTCTGTTTGGAGTTTGATAAATTTCAGAAATAATGGTGATGCCTACATAGGATTGTGAATGTAATTAATACCACTGAATTGCACACTAAAAATTGATTAAAATGGCAAATTATATGTACATGTGTGTTTATATGTGTGTATACACACACACAAGGACTTTTAGTTTTTTTTATTTCAATTTATTTATTTGCATTCATTCACTGTACATCATTACAGCATACAAAATGAGATTTTCCATCCAGATTACACTGTATATTGTCTCAATCAAGCACATCAACAAACATGTTATTGTCAGCAAATGAACTTCCATTTCTTGTTTTCTGTATGTTTTGCTTTTTTTCCCCCCGCATCCTTGATTCCCTATCTCTTACCCTCTGCCGTCTCCCACTCTCCTCCCACACTGTCGCTGGTTTCTATGTTTGCTTTCTATACTGTTTTCCCCCCACATTTTATTGAATCACCAAAGACCCTAATCAACCCAAATACCCTCATAGCAAACACAGGTGACACACACATTTCCATGAGCACAAGTCTAACTTTACGCATCCTATAAAGTAGCACCTAGCTGGGGCTACATATCCTACTGCAGTCATTGAATAGATATATATTTTTTCCCTGAAACTTTTTTTTTTGTAACTCAATTTACATTCCTTCCCTAAGCATCATCACAGCACACAATATGCAATCTCTCATCCAGTACACACTGCATAGTGACTCAATCATGCACATTACAAAAAATTTTCCATTTCTAGTTC